CTTGAGAATTTCCTGTGCTAAGCAATGTTGCTTAACGTAGGTGACATTGTCCTGTTCTGGAAAATAGTTACTTGTGAGTATGGGAATGTTTCTTTTGAACCTTTTGGAAAAGTTAAGCGCAGTTCCATACTTTTATATGCAGCAGGGTGGGGACATGTCGTCTATGCAATGCATGAAAGAGACAGATCTAGGTTGCATTTAGGAACTCCAGCATCAAAGACAATGTTCTTATTTTGTGCTCATATGCATCTCTTTCCTGACTTCCTGACGAATTCTATTAGTGCTGGGCATTCAGTTTTAAAGGATGCCTTAAAAGCATGGTTCCTCAGGTGAGCCAAGCCTGGATACCAACAGAGTCACAAAGAAATTATACTGGGCCTTTTTATAACAAGAAAAGGGCATACTCATTCATGCATTAAAAGTACCTGTCATCTTGTACTATGTCTTTTTAATGTACTCTTGCTGTGATATAAAGGATCCGATTGAATTCATACTCACACACAAAGACACACTTGTGACTCTAGCAAAATAAGCTGTTCGGTTTTCTTCCCTGACACAATATATACCAAAATATATAACAAAATTTGTCTTTTGTTTCCCTGTGTTTAAGAGGAAAGTCAAAAACAGGCAACTCCTCCCTTACATGGGAGTTACGTTCCGCATAAAGAAATCACGTAAAGTGGGGAGCTCCCTCTAAACACCCTTTAAATGCCCTCTCTGCCACACTCTTTTCAAATCCATACCAAAAATACTATATCCAAAAATATCCACAACTAGAATTGAAGCTCATGGGGGGCTGGAGGAGCACAGAGGATGTGCAGGAAAGCAGGGGCTGCACTACCCCAGACGCCAGCTGTTAGGCAGGGAGATTGAGCAGTGTAAACAAAGCCCCGTTGAACTTCTGGTCTCTTTGGGGCTTTCTCTGCCCCTCACTGACTTCCTCTTTGGGCTCTTGGGAGGGTCTCCTCATGAGTCACAAGAATTCTCCAGCTCTCTTCCGCCATTTCTGAGTTTGAATTGAATTCTTTATTTCCTGGTAACATGCATGAGTTGATCGCATGTAAGTTGGGGTGGGTGTGTGCCTGTAATCCGCAAAGTTAACTTCACCAACTTTGCTCATTGAAAATGGAGACATTGCTTAGTTTACATTTTTATCCATATATTTTGTAAAACTCTGTGTCTGCTAGTGATTTGGAACTCTAACAGGAGATGGTGTCAGATATGTGGGCTGGGAGGACTTGGCAGGTGGCTGTACTGCACAGGTGGAAATATTTTGTATGCTGAGTAGAACATAATGGAGGAAGCTGTAGGGTCTGTTTCCCCATTACTCTGCAATTTAAAACACACAAACAATTTTGCATTGCTTTTGAACATATGTCTCAGTCAAATATGTTCTTTCTTTGTTGTTGCATTTTTTAGCCTAAAGTACATTTTTAATACACATTTTTTGTACAGGTTTTGAATCTAGAAATGTATTGCTAGAAAATTGAAGGACCATCACATTCTGCCCATGTGTTAGCCTGGGAAGGTCACATTAGGTTGGTTCATTTGTGGACTGGACAAAGAAGATGAGCTTCCACAGCACAGATGAAAGCCTGCAAAATACATGGTTTATCAACATGAGTATGAACCTTGTACCCACATGGTCCCTTTTAATCTCTTCTGGGATCACATATCCAGCTTCAGAGCTTCTCTCGTGCTTGCTTAAACCAGTTCACCATGACACCCAACCCAGGAAACATGCTTTAAACACTTTAAACAATCCAGGATCTAAAACCAAGATCAGGTTCTAGGAAAAAGATTTTATGCATTTTTTTGGTAAAAACGCAGATAATAAAACATTTAAACTTACTCATTGTTCTTCTTATTTCTGTTATCTTTATGTTCCCATAAAACCCTCCCACCATCCCATCAACTCTCTCACATACTCACACCTATCAGGAGTAATAACTCTCAATCCCAAGCGCCAAATGCAGCACTCCAGGTCTGTCTGTTTGGCCCAGGAATCTCCTCAGGTGATGGCCCTTCCTGAGACACACTGTTCACTGACTCTATTTGAAACCCCATGAGGGTTTTTGCCTGGCTGGAATGTGTCCTTCTCTGGCCTCAAGAAAGTTGTCCAGATGGGAATGCATCTGAAAAAGAGTCTTCATCTGAAGAAAGGTTCCCATCTGTTTTCAAGAAAGCTTTGGCCATCATAAATTTGTTGGTCTTTAAGGAAGAACAAGATGGCTGCTTTTTTGAAAATATATGTGTACATGTATAATGAAATAGTAAAGCTTGAAGGTGTCAGGGATCTCAGTCTCTTCTTCCTGTAAGACACTAATTTAGATCCTTCTCACCCAAACCCTTATTTGCTTTTTGAAAGACTGCAGGACCTTTAATAAAGCAATAGTGGTGCTTATATATTTGTTCATGTGGAGATCATCATATACTGCTGGGAGTATGGAAGGTCTGGCTGTCGTTCTTATAAAGTGTTATGGCCTGTGAAAGACTTGCTGTAGGGCCCGTACCTTTCATGTGTTAACAGCCAGCATGTTTTTCTGTTTGCTTAAAACTCACACACACACCATAAAATGAAACAGTGTATTAAATACAAGAGGTAAAACAAGTCCCCAATGTAGGAAATCGCTTTTACATATGGCCTATAACGAAAATAGCATGTATTGGGCAGCTGAGGAGATGTAGCAAATTCTCTAATTATTGATTTTAACATAGCAGTTGTGATGGGACAGTATCCTCCCCTGCACCGAGAGCAGCTAGTTAGTTTAGGCCATGGGTTAAGGATAGGTTGTGCACACACAGTTCTGTTCTCCACAGAGGGTAATAGCCAGAGGCTGCCACCCCTGCCTTCAGCAACTGCTGCCTGAGGCACCTCTGCCTAATGGTAGGGCTGGCCCTGTTAGTTTAATTACCAACCTTGGATTTCAGCACAGATTTATACAAATACAAACACACAAACCCAGGAGTTCTCTTTTCACTCCTCAGATGCCGTAAACTGGGAGAGGTTTTTGTCTGCATGTTAGCTTTCTGCTGCAATCTTCTTTGCTTTCAAGTTGCTTTTGCAGCAGATGTTTCCTGAATTAATCATTTGTTCCATGAGGGACTTTCTTCCACATAGACATCAGATAACACCCCTTCTCTAAGGCCATTAGTTTTCTTTGGCAGCCATACCTATACTGCATGCAGTGTATCATTTGCTCACCATTGTCTCCGTAAATTGTAACATCAGGAACATTTTGACCCTGTGAGTTTTGCTTTTATGCAGCTTTCTTTTACAATAGTTTTACAAACAGAGCAAATATTCATTCACTCATTATTCTGCTATCAGGGAAGAATGGATCCCCCTCAACAGAACCTATTAGTTGTTCAAGTTCAGAAGGTTGCTCTGTCCCACTATGCATAAAAACCACAAGGAAAATGCCTTGTCCTATACAAAAGAGAACGCCTTCTAAAGTCAATCCACTAATTGCTTTCCTCAACATAGCTTTAGCTTAATCTGAAGCTTACCAAGTGTACCATGAAGGTTGCCTCATAGGGTAAGCTGAAATAAAATCTAGAGCATGGCAGTATTACTCCCATTATTTTTCTCACCACGTTACAAAACTGTGGCATGGAAGTACATTGAAAACTGGATTGCTCTTTCCAATTTGGCAGTTTATGAAGAATTTACATCTTTGAATTTTATAGGTAGCCAAAATGTGGAAAATCCATATAATTCTTCTGTGGCTACTTTTTCCTTTGTTGATAACACTATACAACAAAAGTGAATTCCTGAGTTGAAGAATGCCAGTGCCTCTTCTGTGTCTCTGTTTTGCTGCATGGGTTCCATGTGAGAGAGGCAAGTAATCATGGAAGAATTGGGGGTGTTTTGGTCTCGTGATTTTTCTGTTAAAAATGGTCATATAAAACTCATCCTTAGATGCAGATCATAAAAGCGCAGCACTTACAAAGGCTCCGAGACAAGTGTGAATGTGGACCTGAGGATGACCCTGCTTGATCCCCTTCCCTTTCTTTGTCCATCTTCATTACACCTCTATCCGGCCCTCAGGATTTCCCCCTGGCCACACCCATCACTAGCCCTGCTCTGTGGCCTTCTCAGGTGCTTTTGCCTGGCTGGATTGTGCCCTTGTGAACATTCTTCCTGTTTGTTGGATGGAGAAGTGTGAGTGGGCATAGAAATGTTTAACCAGGCAGAGGGCCTTCTCAGTAGTGGCACTAACCCTGTGGAATACCCTCCCATCTCCTGTCAAGTATATTACATTCAGGAGACATCTGATGGTAGCCCTGTACAGGGAGACTTTTTAAGGTTAAATGTTTTACTATGTTTTTATGTATGCTGGAAGCCACCCAGAGTGGCTGGGGTAACCCAGTAAGACGGGTGCGGTACAAATAATAATAATAATAATAATAATAAACTTTTGTATAGCTGGAAGGTAGCCTACTGCACACGTATATCTATTGCTCTACCTAATCTTGCCTGCAGCTCCGCTCACCCCTTGGAAGTTTCCCCATGAGGCAGTGTGGGCCTTGAGCTGAGGAAGGTTACCCTCAGTTCGAAATAATTCATTGATGAAAGTGGATTCTGTTTTATTCAATATTTGAATGCCCCAAACAAATGAAAGCACTATAGTGAATCAGGCAGTTCCTTGAGTCGCATAAGGATTCGGGGCATGTCCCTATTTCATTTTTTTACAAGAGTTTGGGAATCCTAGTGGGCATGCAATTGAGTAGAAGTCATTCTTGGGCAGGTGAGAACAGATGGGAAAGAGAAAGTGAACAAAGAATGGACAGAATCTGGCATTGATTAGTATTTTCTTTCATAGGTGGGATGAACAGAAAGGAATACTTATTAAATTCATAAGTTGAACAAAAGCCAAGGATGGGCTGCAAACACTAAAGGGCATGACCAGAATACACAATAATCGTCGTCTATTGTGATGCAACAGAACAAGTCTGAGTAAGAACCAGTGAAATAACACTCAGTGTTTTTATCCATAGTAAGGTCAAGTTGACTAGTACATAATGATAACTAATTGGCTAGACAGGGTAATAAAGATTCCATAGTGGTTTAGTAGCTGAAGTTTCCGAGAACCTTTCAAAGGCAGCATGTTGCAGTAATCTTAATAGCATGTAGGTAAGGCATGAGCAACTGTGGCCAGATCAGACATCTTCAGGAACAGGAGATCCAACTCTACCCCATATCATGGAAAGAGAAGCAGAAGATTAAGGTCCATAGGCCTGGATGAAGAAGAACTTTGACTGGTGACTAAGAAACAGATAGTGATGGCACCAGACCATTAGATTATGACAGGACCTAGATTATTATTTTAGAGTATTACGGTAAATCCTTAACATTAATGTGGACAGCAAAATAAATTACACTAATTTGGTAGGGTGGGTGAGGGCTCAAGGTAGGCTTCTGGTGAGGAGACTGAAACCACTTTCTCTTCCTTTGGCCCTCCTGTTGCACCACTGTGAGCAAAGCCATAGTTTCATCCAAACCTTGGACAAAGCCAGAGTTTAGCATTGAATTGCAATGATGTGACCAAGAAGTAAAGCAGTGAGCTGGAGAGAGAATCAGAGCAACATCTGTGAGTAATGTTTGATTTCTGTTCTAATCCAAGGCTGTGGGCTATGGGAGAAACAAGACCTTTTGGGGGTGTTAATGCTGTGAACCCCTCCATTGTAGGCTCAGGTTGTATATATGTGTAAATAAATCATATATCATAATGACACCACAGTCTCTGTGTGACTTATTCCAAATGGAAACACGAACCCTGAGTAAGTGCCTTGGACTTCTGGAATCAAGCACCACCCAGCGATTGGGGTGGCATTCGGCAATAAGTATACAAGACAGAACTGGAACATGGAAGAGATCTGAAAAACTCTCTATGTCCAGAATGGAAATTTCACTAGCTTCGATTCCTTTAGGGAACACTTCTGTTTTCATTTTTATTCCAGGATTATTAAGTACACTGGACCTTTCTTGGTTTGATCTATGGCTCAAGTTTTCATAGTGAATGTGACTCCTTTGATGAAATTCTTCTTTGCCTTCTAAATAAAGATTATTACAGCTCGAGGTCAATTCAGGTTGCACTTCTGTTTAAAGGACTGCTGCTTCAGGGAATCATTTGGGAAGAGAATATTTTTGCAAGACATAAATCAACTCTCCTTAATTCAACTTTTAAGAAAAAAAACACACAAAAAACTTTTGGACGATGGCTCCTATAAATCCGAATGTGATTTTATTCTTGCCCTTTGGCTAATATTTAATATTGAATAGATTTATCTAGGTTTCACTGCAGGTTAAGGCCACTGCAGATTAAGTTAGAGGCCCCAGGACAGTCTGGCCTTTTGAGTAATGCCATCATATTTTGCTCTGTAAGGCGACATACACACATATATACAAATGAAATATGGACTGCAGAATATTCCAAGTCAAACTCGATCACGTAGTATCTCTGTATAGAGCTGCAAGCAGTTAGCATTCTTGCTTACCAATGATGCGAGTAAGCTGGATCTAAAGTGATATAGGCAGCACTCTGTTCATGCATGGGTGTGTTCGAGTTTTCCCTCCTGTGCCAACTCCAAAGTAGCACCCTATGTACAACAAATATCTATTGCAACAATCAAGTATTCCCCCCTCCTCCATAGACATGTGGAAGCATTTTCCACAGAGGTAGGGTTGCGAAACAGGATTGAAGCCAGTCCTAAGCCAGTAATGTTTTCTTGCATTGTGCACCAGTATGTAACCTGATCATTATTTATGAGTCACAACATTTTCTTATATTATTGTCATGAAGTGGAAGGACATTCGAAAACCTTGCAAAAGAAAACCCAGCTCCTATATTCCAGTTCAGCTGTACTGAGCATGTGCACTTCAGGGAAGGGCCATTGCTGAGTAGATAGATAGATGATAGATAGATAGATGATAGATAGAAAACCATTGTAGATTTCTGTATGCTTCTTGAGATGTTTGTTAGTTTGAACTACTGCCAAGGACACATGTGGATAAATGAAACATGTAATTCAATATTTATTGACTGCCCTGACTAGTGGTTTTATATGTGGCTTTTGTTTGTGTTTGTTTTAAATACGGCATTCTTTTGATTAATGGGATATTTCCTTGATTTCTAGGTAAACCACTTTGTGGCCATCTATGGTGAATATTGAAAATAAATATCATCTTCTGTCTGCTGTGGAAAAGCATTTCCTTGCTCCCTTTTTCAGATTTTGTATATATCATCACAAAGCAGTTTGTGCCACCAACTACTGCTGTTTAATGTCACTGTTACATACAATGGAAATCCCAAAGCAAAGACAAGTGCAGGGCCTTCTATGATGGAAGCCAGAGTACACGGAAATGCCATTTACCTTCCTGCTGCAGAGGTACCTATTTGTCTACTTGCACTGGTATGCTTTCAATCTGCTAGGTTTGCAGAAGCACTTTGTTGTTTTTGTTTTTAATCTATCGGCTAATGCACCAATATCATGTTGCAGACTATTTTAGCAAAACAGCAACCTCACCCTGTCACTGAGGAAGAAACTACATTCTGTCTTGACTGAGTAAAGTTTACTCTCTCTATTTGGCAAAGCCTAATTGAAATTTCAGGCTTGTAATGAAATACACTCATGAAAGCTTTTATTGTATAACAGGAAATTCACTTGCAAGTTTTGAGTGCTGTATACTTGCTTTCTCCTGAAAACGTTTAACCAAAGAGCAGAAGAGTTGACTAAGTCCTAGCTGGTCAGTTTGGTTTTTGACACTGAACATTTGCATGTAACTGGATCAGACAGAGAGACATGTTTAAAGGCAGCTGATTTCTGTCCACAAAAAAAAACAACAACAGCAATAGCACCTGTTGGAACAGGCATACTTCTTCTGTAAATCTGTCAGAGGTCATCATCATACAGAAGAAAATTCTAGATAAATTCCCTTTAGACACATGGAAGTTAGCATTAAGAATCATAATGGTATTTTCTTAACAAAGAAAATAAACCAGTGACTAAATTGGAACCAACCATCAGCAAAAGGCCTTGGGATCTTGAAACAGCTTCAGCCAAAGTTTCATGAATGACTGGCTGAATATTAGTAAAATAATGGTTTTTATAAGCAGACCCCATTTAGTGTCACTCATGACTGGAAAATAGCAGAAACCTAAGAGGAACATTTTAACAGCAGGAAAAGTATCAGTGTTATTTTAAAACTGGAGCTGGGGGAGTCAGGGCAAAATTCCCTGCCAAGAAAACATAATGCTTTGGAGACCTTTGTAAGTCTCAAAGGAATTGTTAAAAAATTAAAAGGGTAACTAGAGATTTAAAAAAAAGAAACAATGAGAATGAGAATTTTTAAAACATGGTTTGATGTGTCCTGGATGTCAAGGTTTATTATGCTATCAAGATAAAATCATGTAGAAGTCTGCAAGATAAAATGCAAATAAAAATTAGTTAAAATAGTCCCCTCCTCAGCTGAAGGATGTGTGGTTCACTTCATGAAGGACCTTCCAGTACTGCTTACCAGTTGCCTGGTGTCTTTTTGGGCTCCTCTTTTCCACTTCATACCACAGTGAATGCTTAGTGAGGGTTGTGTTGTCAGAGAAGGCATCCTATGTGTCCTCTCCTATATGAATGTTTCTGCATTACAAGTACATGCTATATGTATGACAACCATACGTCAAGTTGTTAATACAAGTCTGTACTTCATCTTGGCCACTCTTGCCCTTGGTTGTGTCTCCTGTTTTATGCCCCAGCTTCCTGCAATGCCCTTTTACTATATCCAGTTTGCCTCTTTCCTCTGAAGTCTGCTTTGAAATCTCCAAGCTCTTGTCCTTTGCTGCCCTACTCTTCTCCCTGAGGTGCTGTGATTCTGGCATGGTAGAGGTTTGAATCAGAAGATCTTTGGTGCTCCTTTCACCTCTGTTACTGTATGAGACCTGTTTTTATTCTGCATGCAAGTAGTGTTCAATCATGTTTGCCTCCCATGTGAAGTGATATGGCCTAGACACAGGACTACCAACTCATTGAAAAACCCATTTCCACTGAGCCAACCAAAGATCTATGAATGAACTCGTTTGGAACAAACACAAACAAACAAACCAAAGCAAAGTAGGGCTGGTCCAAGACATTTTGCTACCTGATGGTGCCCTCTCCTTCCACATGCACATGCTAACTAGACTTGCAGTTACATCAACATTGGAAATGGGAAAGAATCCTCCACTCCATATGAAGAAAGCAGGCTAGTTTAGGGGAATGTTAGTCCCCAAGAATCTGTCACCTGAGGGAGTTGTTTCACTCTGCCCAATGATAGGGCTGGTCCTGAAGGAAAGATATGTCTCTCTCTGTTTTAATTTCTAGCTGAAGGTAATCTGTAAATAACTCTGTTAATATTTTAAAGCCATGTACTGCATTCTCCACACACACTGGAGTTGGCAAATGGGTGAAAGGAATTGCTTTAGAGATGTGGAAAGTGCATTATTCCCTCTGACAGAATTTGTATCTAATAAAATAACAAATCCTCAAAATAAAAATATTCTCACTCTGGAAATGGTCTTGTTTTATTTCTGATCTGGCCTCATCTGGCTTCGTTGTTCAGTCCCTCAGGAATAGCAAACAACTGAAACTGAAATATAAAAAATATATATGGGAGAGATGAATCCATTAAACAATCTAGGAATGCTGGATTTAATATATGGAACAAATGTATACAGCAAAACTGGCACCATGTGTCACACCCTTTGTGAGTTGAAAAGTTGAGCTCGTACTGTAATGCAATTTTTGCGATGACCAAATAAACAAAATGTGACAGTCAGACAAGGGTAAGCTAAAATAGAGCAGACAAGGAGGACCCTTGCACCCAGATGAAGGAGGATGGAATCTAGGACACAAACTAACCCTTCAAGAGCAAAAATCCTTCCATCTGTGCTGGCTGAGCTCTGGCTGGGGAGAATTGGAATAGGAAGTGGCTCTCTTTTCTTAACCATACCACTGCTCCCATATCTATGCAACTTGGCAATAAAAGGCTGCAAGTGTCAAGTGTTCCTCCTAACAATCTTTCTTCCCTTCCCCTTCTCTTCAGTGTCATCTGTCCACCCTTTTAGTAATATCACTGCCTGATATGCTCTGGTGTCAGATATTGGTTGTGTACGCACTATAACTTCACACATTCAAAACACAAGGTTGCTGGGAATTGTAACTGTGAGGCGTAAACTACAGTGCCCAGAATTGTTGGGGGTGGGGATGACGATTGTGCTTGGAATGTGCTTTTAAGGTACAGTGTGTGTGCACTAAAAAGGGTGGTCTTATGGCTTCTTTGACTGCTATTGGTTTAGCCACCAGATGTACAATAGAAGCTAAACTCCCTCAGGGCGAGCCCACAAAATGAGTGTTCAGGGCAGCATTCCCCAAACTAATGTTGTCATGATGCTTTGGACCTTTAACACCCATCATCCCCTGCTAGTGTTGGCTGGAGTTAATGGGAGTGGTGCTGTGGTCTAAACCACTGAACCTCCTGGGCCTCCTGGTTAGAATCCCCATGACGGGGTGAGCTCCCGTTGCTCTGTCTCAGCTCAGCAACATCCTCCAGCAACTTCTGATGAATTAAGCCTTCTTTTCTATGGCCGTACCATAGCCATGGACTTTAAAATTGCAGCTTTATGGGGCTCCTGATACTATGAGCATTTATTCATACAAATAATTATTAAGTGACTAGTTCTAGTTAATTAGTAGGAACACTCGTGCTTGGCTACTGTGTGACCTCAGACATAAACTATGCTGGCGAGGAAGTCATCCAAAATGGGTAATGCAAAATTAAAAGGCAACAGCAATACACCTTCCAGAAGAAAAGGGCATTTATCATTTCAGATAGTGTAACACATGTCTCTGTTTAAAAAAGCAGGCCTGTTTTATTGATAGGTATTCCACTGCACACTTTTACAGACTTGAGGAGATTGTTCTCCGAATACTGGATCTGTCTACAAACGTAAGGGCCTTGTCATGGTCTGGTTTCATGTGATGAAAATTGACTTGTGTATGGAATGGAAACCAGCTGTCTTTTGACATGCCTGGATAAGAAAGGCGCATAAGCGTCAAATTCAAAAGGATGGAAAATCAGATCGGAAGCAAAGACACCCAAGAATGAAAAGCAAAAGAGAGAGAGAAGAAACAAAGAATTCTTTCTTTCTTTCTTTCTTTCTTTCTTTCTTTCTTTCTTTCTTTCTTTCTTTCGAAGAGCAGTCGATTTAAGAGACCAAACTTGGTAGAAAGATTGTATCTATTAAAAATATAACTTGAGGACCTGCACCAATCTCTCAACCAACAACTGCAGGCAGGTGTAGCCAGTGCAGGCAGAGAGGGAAGTCCTCCTGTCCTCTGCAAAGGACCAAACCACCCCAGAATAGCTCTGTCACACAAGCTGGCATGACGGGCGACCATGTTTCCATCTGTTCTTAATGAGGAGCACAGGAGATGCTTGACTTGACTAGTGCTAGCCACCTCCACTGTTCAGCAGGTGGTACCTGCCAAGCTGCCAGAGCACCAGACCAAGCAGCCCACCCTCAGCCTGTCGCCAATAGGAGGCATTTAGAGAAGTGCCCCCACCTCCCCGTGCCTCAGGATGCTTACCCCAAGTGCTGCAAGCCATTTACCTGTCCTCCCTAAAGGCCAATTAACTCCAAACAGTCAAATGGAAAATCCAGACCCACAGTAAGTCAATCAAAATTAAGAGGTGAAAAAGGCTGCACCAAGGACCACCCGAGTCCCAGAAAGAGATTGTCAGTGTCCACAGTGCCCTAATGCTGGGAGGCTGCGATGTTGCAGGGAATTAAGAGGAAGTGTTTCAGAGCGGCATTGTCTTTTATAGCACACATTTGGACAGACTTCCAAGAAAGAAGGATCGATTATTAAACCAATCTGGGAATTGTAGCTCTGTGAGGGGAATAGCAGTCTCCTCACAACTTTCAGCACTCTTAACCGTTCCTGGGATTCTTTGAGAGATGCCATGTATGAACCTGCTGTAGATGTCTTGTGCAGATCAGGCTCTATGCATGATTTTCAGTGTATGCATGGTTTTCCTGATTCCCCTTGCAAATTATTAAGGTCACCAGATTTTTTTCAATGAATCCGGGGACACAATAAATAAATAAATAAATAAATAAATAAATAAATAAATAAATACTACACGTTCGGGACATTGATGCTGCAGCGATGGC